GTATTTCTGGATTTCAAGTTGAAATTGAGAGGACAAGATAGAATATCTGTATCGGTTGGCAGATGTCTTCCTGGAATTTGATGAAAACAAGTCGGCACATTTTTACAGTATGCAAATTAGAATAGCACTGTGGATAAGTTGGCCGGAACATTTTTGCTGAAAATGTTTTTCCCCAAAAAACACTTCTCAGAGAGGCGATATTTTCTTGTCAAGGGGCAAGGGTAGTCTAGCATTATTGGAATCAATTAAGTGACTAGTATATGCTTTGCAGGTGGGATTTGTACATCGGAGAAGATCTTTAGAAGTGAAAGGAATCATCACATTGTCATTTGTTAAACAACGGCTTTTGCAGGTCCTATGCAACCCATTTGATCGGCGACGCACAACGGACGATGCACGACGGGAAAATGGCATGTTTGGAACTGGTAAATGGCAGAATTGGGACACAACAAAAAGCAAAATGCGACGGACGACGGGCGACGGGCGACGGCAGATATGAAATTCCATACAATGTCCACATTACGATGTGATTTTGGACTTTCCTAGATGTGATTCCGGGCTGGGATGTGATTTTGGGTGCGTATGTGATATTGGATAATCTTTTTAAAATCATTTAATCATCCAGGCAAATTGCCTGTCCATTTTTATTGATAAATCACATCCAGACCATTCACAGTGAGACAGACCATACCTACCAGGAGTACGGAAATCTTTTCAGTCTTGAAATATAAGTTGGGCGTAGTTTTATTACCACAACTATGACCCATTTCCAACAAGGAGGTTTTTTATTTATTTGGTTTTCTCCTCGTGTGTGCAAGTTATTCAGAAAGGACAAAAGATACCTCAATGATCTGATGTGATTTGTCCTACAGACAAAAACTTACCCCGCTGGACTGTACATGATGACAGGCCTACGAAGATCACAAGAAGTAGGCCTACCGCTGTGCGAACCCAAGACGGTGAGTGAAGGGAGAAGAAAAGAAATCCAATTGCCAAATCAACACAGCAATGGGGGGATCTTCGTCTTTGCAGATATCTAAAAACTACTGAATCATCCCCAGTCCAGAAGCAGTGATGATAAAAGTAGCCTTTAACCATTTATTAACATGAGGCGATCGGGAGTTATTCAGTGGGTGAGATCGAGAGAGTTTGATGCAGAAACGTCATATCACTGTAATGTAACATCAGTTGTTGTTGGTTTTTTCTGAGCTATACCTCAACTGCTTTGTTGTCCCCTAGACACATTTAAATCTGTGGAGAGTGCAACCAGTGACAAGTGAAAAATGAAAATATCCTCAAAATATGTACCAGTGTCACACACATGTTTAAAGTAACTGCTTTCAATGTCATTGGGTATGTAGTTCTGTTGGTGTTAGCCTCAGGTGGCATGAGGTCGTGTCACGTGACACACTGATGCCTCAACCAAAACTGCAAGTATACCTCTTGCTACAGTTGTATTCCTTTTCGATCACTTCAAATGTAGCGCTTTGTATATAATTGTCTTTAAGTATCGTACCGTGCAACCATTGCCTTTAAAGATTGCACAAACATTTCAGTAATTGCCTTTAAGATGACACAAATGAAAACTAATGCTAAATGGCTCAACAAGGCGGCATATTCAAGCACCTCAAGAATCAACTCTTGATGATTTTGCGTTAACATTTTTCCCCTTTACTCACAATCTAGCCTACCGGCCTCGAATATAAAAATCAAGTTTGTCTATAGAAGAGTGTCAATCAAGTCATCTAAGCTTTTGTTCTCCAAGTAAAGTAATACTCACATAAAGTAAAAATGCAACAGCCAGGACGCAATGGCTCCATCCTCTCAGCCGCGTTGCGCACATACACTCTGTGCGTTTCTTGGTGGGGTGCAAATTATTAACAAGCAAAGTCAATGGAAAGGTCTTTTTCTTCGATCAATCCAAATAGAGCTCCACTAGACACAACACTCCACCTTGCACAGCTTTGCCGGAAATGCCTTGGGAAACGCGATCTGTTATGCTACTCTCAATATTCGGAGTCACAACTTCCACCCAAATGCACCTTCTCACAGAGCAAAAGGCCTGTCACTGCGTTGGTCTTGTTCATAAAAACGGGCAAAATGTCTGAGGTGCTATTTTTATCTTGCTCCTGGTACCAACAGACTCGGTTGAAAATAATACTGTATAAACATCCCACCAACCATCAAACTCCAGGCAATTGAGTGACAAGGTTATATAAGCAAGACCCTAACTCAGTCCTTGACCCCGAAAGAGATTGGGGCAGAATATATGTTACCGTCTGCCAGCTACTTGCTCTAAACCCCATATCCTAGTTTGAGGGCTGTACGCCTTGACAGCAGCCAGTTTTTACACATTCCTTAATCAGACAGAGAGTGTCTGGAATGATAAGACTGCGAAAAAAGGAAAGATTTATTAGCTTCAAGGCAACTGCCATGTAAGCTGTGTAACATAACATGTCAAATTTGTTGTTCACACGCGAGGCAGCATTCAATGCGTTTAAAGTGAAGTACAGCACTCGTTGGATTTACACACTAAATTTGCTCCTGGCTATGGAAAAAAATATTGCAACACATCACTCTCACTGAAAATTAGACCACCATATATTTTTAAGCATTGTTGNTCAATTAAGTGACTAGTATATGCTTTGCAGGTGGGATTTGTACTTCGGAGAAGATTTTTAGAAGTGAATGGAATCATCACATTGTCATTTGTTAAACAACGGCTTTTGCAGGTTCTATAAAACCCATTTGATCGGCGACGCACAACGGACGACGCACGACGGACGACGGGCGACGCACGACGGGAAAATGGCATGTTTGGAACTGGTAAATGGCAGAATTGGGACACAACAAAAAGCAAAAGGCGACGGACGACGGGCGACGGGCGACGGCAGATATGAAATTCCATACAATGTCCACATTACGATGTGATTTTGGACTTTCCTAGATGTGATTCCGGGCTGGGATGTAATTTGGGGTGCGCATGTGATATTGGATAATCTTTTTAAAATCATTTAATCATCCAGGCAAATTGCCTGTCCATTTTTATTGACAAATCACATCCATACCATTCACAGTGAGACAGACCATACCTACCAGGAGTACGGAAATCTTTTCAGTCTTGAAATATAAGTTGGGCGTAGTTTTATTACCACAACTATGACCCATTTCCAACAAGGATGTTTTTTATTTATTTGGTTTTCTCCTCGTGTGTGCAAGTTGTTCAGAAAGGACAAAAGATACCTCAATGATCTGATTTGATTTGGCCTACAGACAAAAACTTACCCCGCTGGACTGTACACGATGACAGGCCTACGAAGATCTCAAGTAGTAGGCCTACCGCTGAGCAAACCCAAGACGGTGAGGGAAGGGGAAGAAAAGAAATCCAATTGCCAAATCAACACAGCAATGAGGGAATCTTCGTCTTTGCAGATATCTAAAAACTACTGAATCATCCCCAGTCCAGAAGCTGTGATGGTAAAAGTAGACTTTAATCATTTATTAAGATGAGGCGATCAGAAGTTATTCATTGGGTGAGATCGAGAGAGTTTGATGCAGGAACTTCATATCACTGTAATGTAACATCAGTTGTTGTTTTTTCTGAGCTATATCTCAACTGTTTTGTTGTCCCCTAGACATATTTAAATCTGTGGAGAGTGCAACCAGTAACAAGTGAAAAATGAAAATATCCTCAAAATATGTACCAGTGTCACACACATGTTTAAAGTAACTGCTTTCAATGTCACTGGGTATGTAGTTCTGTTGGTGTTAGCCTCAGGTGGCATGAGGTCGTGTCACGTGACACACTGATGCCTCAACCAAAACTGCGAGTATACCTCTTGCTACAATTGTATTCCTTTTCGATCACTTCAAATGTAGCGCTTTGTATATAATTGTCTTTAAGTATCGTACCGTGCAACCATTGCCTTTAAAGATTGCACAAACATTTCAGTAATTGCCTTTAAGATGACACAAATGAAAACTAATGTTAAATGTCTCATCAAGGCGGCATATTCAAGCACCTCAAGAATCACCTCTTGATGACTTGGCATTAACTTTTTCTTCCCTTTACACGCAGTCTAGCCTACCGGCCTCCAATATAAAAATCAAGTTCGTCTATAGAAGAGTGTCAATCAAGTCAACTAAGCTTTTGTTCTCCAAGTACAGATTCATGATTAAAACTCAGAAAAAAACTCACATAAAGTAAAAATGCAACAGCCAGGACGCAATGGCTCCATCCTCTCAGCCGCGTTGCGCACATACACGCTGTGCGTTTCTTGGTGGGGTGCAAATTATTAACAAGCAAAGTCAATGGAAAGGTCTTTTACTTTGATCAATCCAAATAGAGCTCCACTAGACATAACACTCCACCATGTACAGCTTGGCCGGAAATGCCTTGGGAAACGCGATCTATTGTGTTACTCTCAATATTCGGTCCACCCAAATGCACCTTCTCACAGAGCAAAAGGCCTGTCACTGCGTTGGTCTTGTTCATAAAAACGGGCAAAATGTCTGAGGTGCTATTTTTATCTTGCTCCTGGTGCCAACAGACTCGGTTGAAAATAATGCTGTGTAAACATCCCACCAACCATCAAACTCCAGGCAAGTGAGTGACAAGGTTATAAGCAAGACCCGAACTCAGTCCTTGACCCCGAAAGAGATTGGGGGCAGAATGTATGTTACCGTCTGCCAGCTACTTGCTCTAAACCCCATATCCTAGTTTGAGGGCTGTACGCCTTGACACCAGCCAGTTTTTACACATTCCTTAATCAGACAGAGAGTGTCTGGAATGATAAGACTGCGAAAAAAGGAAAGATTTATTAGCTTCAAGGCAAATGCCATGTAAGCTGTGTAACATAACATGTCAAATTTGTTGTTCACACGCGAGGCAGCATTCAATGCGTTTAAAGTGAAGTACAGCACTCGTTGGATTTACACATTACATTTGCTCCTGGCTATGGAAAAAAATATTGCAACACATCACTCTCACTGAAAATTAAGCCTCCATATATTTTTAAGCATTGTTCTGACTATTCGTTGTGACACACTTGTTGACTACTCAAACAGATTCTATACATAAAACCCCCCTGACAAGGCTTAACAATTAGTTTGGTTCCCTGCCCAAAGATTCCCAGACAACTCTTGACAAAAATCTTCGGTATCGGCTAGAGTTAAAAATAGAGCATAGCATAACGTGTCAAGGGTCAATCCGCACCTGATGATGATGATGTCTGCTGCACCAGACCTGAACGCAGTGTTTTTGTGCACGTGCCGCAGTGAGTTACTTTGTAGTAGCAGCTACAAGCATAGCACATGGTACAAGAGAGAGAGAAAAAAAAGAAAGGCATCAAACGCCCAAAAAGCGTGTTTTGGAAGAGTGCTGTGACCTGTCGGAAATATCCGGCAATCAACGGTGCTATCCAAAAATGACGGCAACAACTTCGTAATGTTTCGGACATTCGCGGAAAAGTCAAGAATTGACTTTTGGGTCACGTGATCCTCCTGTACACGTAGCCGATACCGGACAAGACAGGGTAGTATTTAGTAACTATAGACAGAGTAGTATTTCGTCTGATGGCATTTTGTATAGAATTTTCAGAGCCAAAAGAACGCCAGTAATGGCATTTTTCTTAATTCACATTGAATTCCTGTGGCAGCGACAATCCCTTAGACACTATTATTAAACAATCCTTTTGCTTGAACTTTGATAACAAAACAGAACGTATGCGGGACCTTTTAGGTCAGTAATAGACCAACCGCAGCACATTGCACAGAACGAATAACATGATGTCACCTTATGGCTTACCTCTGTGGTTCTTGTGGATAACTTCAGTCGATAGCCCGCCCTGTGTTTTTATCGTGTCCAGTGTTTTTGTAGGGTTAGGTTTTAGGATTGCTTGTTTTCAATCGAGTTAAAGCATGGTGTAATATACCAGTGGATGCCTGAAATCCAGTTTTAAATCTGTGAATCGGTAACAATGTAGTACATTCAGGTAATCAGGAATATGTGGCCTTCTGGCGTCCATTGACTGGAACTACTGTCCACGCTACAACCGATCAACCAATCAACGTCGTGCCTGTATCGCCAGATGAGGTCATTTTAAAGGCTCTCTGTACCTCCAAGTAGGTCTCATTTGACAGAGCTGGCGTGAAAACATGGGATACGATTGACAAAAACGTTTCTTGCTGTGTTTCAGCAAAGTTTTCGTTGAGGTCTAGGTTTAATATCGTATTTTGTGGACGTTATGCATTCCTGAATGCTTTTAGTACATATTATAGATTAACACTCTCATCAGAGGGTATTGCCGTTTTACAACTGCACTTCCGTGAACCTTACAAAAGGTTGGTCAAATGTCCTGCGTTCAGCTTAAAATGCTTTTTTAACAAAGAAAGGGAGGGGGCAGTTAACTTGAATTTTGGTGGCGTACGTACACGTGCCCTTGCAAAGCACGTCGCTTGTCTGAGTCACATTTTTGTCACTTGCTCTCAGTTTAGCCTGTAAAAAAATAGTAGACGACTGGAAATGCAGGTAACGTCTTTTGGTAATATTTATTTTGCAGTTTCTCCAAGCAGTAGATATTAGTACACATCGCCAGCTTCAAAGTTCGGAAACGTCATTACAGCAAAAATGTAATTTTTGAGAATACTCTTACGGCCTCACTCTGAGCATGAGAGAAACATTGTATTGAAACAGACTACACCTGTTGTACTTTTGTTTATGATACAACTTTTCTTGGGCCAACATATTTACTTGAATTTGTTGCCCAATTTAATGTTTAAAAAAGTATCTTTCAGTGAGGACCTTTCAATGCCTCTTAGCACTGACATGACGACGGTATATTTTGATAAAGGCCTACTGGTATAACGCTTTCCTACGGCTTTTTATTAGTTTGACGTGTTTTTAACGCGTCTCATGGTAAAAAGAACATGTGGTACAAAACACACGCCTGTATATCAGTTCTTTTAAAAAACCGCTTCGCAGCAACATTCATCGAATAAACCGTAAACCGCAAACATTTTTGGCCGATGCTCACAACAACAGCAAAAAAGCGCGCATCCTGTGCCTTACAGGTATTTTTCATACCGCAGTACTTGTCATGTGTAGCAGGGGTAGGAGCTAAATCAGCCTTAAATAATGGCAACCTTAACCTGGGCGCAATCTGCCCGGGGGTTTTAAAACTCCGTATCCGGGGCTTGGCGACGTATGGGCTCGTTTGTGTATATTTGAGGTTTTTGTTTACTAAATGCTTTAAAGTTAATTACCTTTTCAGGGATAGAAATTCGGCATATTTCCAATATGTTACTCGTAAAACAAAAGGCTACATAGCATGAGAGTGGCATTTAAGGTGGCTTTTTTCCCAAGTACGGCAAGGGAGTTCTTTGAGGTAGCTTCGGGAAATTTAAAACTCCAGTTTTCAAAGCCCAGCTGGGCCTAGGACTTTTTTGATTTTAAGGGTCTTTTCCTTCACTTACAAGTGTTTTCAGCCTGCAACTTATTTTTAAAAGTGATTTTCTTTAAATGTTTTTGAATAGTTTGAGGAAAACTTGTCCTAAGTGCGTGTAACTGATACAGCGGAAGATTTGTGAGTTTATTTTTCATAATATTTCTTATCATCATTATACGTGTTAAGCATTTATTTAGCTAAATCTATTTCCATAAGAAGGCAAAATATGAGGCATAATACGAGGCATGGATTTACATGTTTCATTCCATTGTCAAAACTAAATGTGTGAATTTACACCATGTCTCGGGCAATTATAGGTATTATAAATCCTTATTGTCACTTAGACTGCTCTACTGCTGGTAATGGGACCGAAGATCCTGTCCACTTTGACATACTGACAGTCTTCTTCAGTGATTCCCTTTGGTTTGAATTCATCCGCAAAGCCCTTGTGTCCGGCTCTCAAGCAAGAGAGGTGGGTATCTGGTGCCGTACCAACACACGTGTATAAACACAACACCGCGAAATGAGAATAGCGAAGATCTGCACTGACATATTGGGGGACGTGTGAATGTGTGTCCTAGATTATAATTTAGGTTTTTAACTCGCTATAAGGTGATCATTAATCAAGAAGCTATGGGAATGTTGTGATCTTTCTTATTTTACGGTATTCCTTCTTGCCTATTTCAACCGAGTGTTGTTTGTGGATATATAAGGGGTGAAATCAATTATTATTTCTGTCTAATGGGCAATGGACAGCATCAAGCTCTATGAGTCCCGAGCTGGACCAAGAGAGGGCGCAGTTTTCCAAGTAACTGAGGTTCCTTTTGGGTCGGAACTGCACTTCCTGGTTCACAAACGACTACACTAAAACTCGTTATGGGCACGTCGCTACCAGTGAAATAAACACTCCTGCCCACCATGACTCTTTTCAACCCAGTAGGGGGTCCTTCTGCTCAAGATGGATAATGCCCTGGTATCATTCCTCAAATTGTTTGGTCCAACGGTGAGCATAGATCATAATCATACTGCATGTGACTTGATACCTTGACGGAGGCTTGCGCCACTGAGTCCACTTGGTCTTTGACTTTTAATTTCTTAAGGCAAGTCACATCTGGCAGTCTGACCAGCAGGCCACCATTGTTTGGGTTTTTCATTTTCAATTTAATTTCAAACTAATTAATTGAAGTTAGATTTTCAAATGATTGAAAAAGTAAATTGGTCCACGGACAAAAAATAACCCCAAGCTTTAAAAAAGCTTTATGGAACCTAGGTTCCATGTTTGAAAAATAGCCATCAGAACATTTAAGGTTACCGGCTTCTAACAACTCAGAAAAGGCAAATTAATTGATATGAAGCATTTCCTGCAGGTTCACACGACAAGATGAAGCAACGGGATAAGCATGCAATGACGATACGTAGAATATATTCTTTGCAGTGATATGCTCGGCGTATCTGTGTTTCAAGAGTGAATTTGGGTAACACAAACCAGTTTGGCCTCTCTCCCATATTTTTTTTCTTTAATCACCAAAGTGTATCCAGTTCGTTTCATAGTAATACTATTCATGAACAGAGGAAAGTCAGCATAATAACAGCCATGGTTCTCCTAGTCGTCAAGATAGTGAACAAAATAAGGTACAATCTTTCAATTCACCAGGAACGTTGCCACACCACAGGCGTTTTCCTTATTCTACCGTCGTAACTGCGCTCTCCTCTAGTTTCTGTCGTCGCAAACATACTTCCCCCCAGGTCAAAAGGTTCAAAGTTGATCTCACCTACAATAATCGTCTCTTCCGTCGCCATCTTTGTCTTTCATGTACCACGTGTCCGTGTGACCCAGGTCAAGCCTAATCTCTTGATTGGGACAGTTGTATATTGGCTTTGGCCCTGAGTGCCGGCCGCGCAGTACAGCATATCGAACTGGCCAATTGAGACAACTCTTAGTAATGTATAAGTTGTCTTTCAGTGTCGCAGTAAAAGGGATATTAATGCAACATATGAAAGAAACTTGCACTAATCAAATATTGGCATCCCTATAAGGAAAACAATGATAATTACAAGTACATGGATTTACGTAAAATGTCTCTAAGTAGTTTGAGAAAACTTCTAATTGCGTGTAACTGAAAAAACCGAATATTTTTTGTTGAGAACCTATTTTTTTTCTAAAATATTTCTTACATGTGTTAAGCATGCATTTAGTTAGGAATATTTCCACAAGAAAGCAGAATATGACTTTGACTGTTTTACCATGGATATATCTGTTTCATTACATTGTCAAAACCGTTAGCGCTACAGTTAAATGTGAGAATTTACACCATGTCTCCGGCAATGTTAGGTATTATAAATCCTAATTGTCATTTAAACTGCTCTACTGCTGGTCACTGGGACCAAAGATCTTGTTCACTTTGATATACTGACAGTCTTCGTAAGTGATTCCCTCTGGTTCGAATTCATCCTCAAAGCCCTCGTATCCGGCTCTCAAGCACGACATGTGGGTACCAGCTGCCGCTCCAACACACCTATACAAACATACACCGAGAAATGAGAGTAGTGAAAGTCACAGTTCCTTTGGGGGACGTGTAAATATGTGCCCTAAGGTATTATTCAGGTTTTTATTTTCTTACAATATGATTTAATCTAAACGAGCATGTGGAAATATTGCAGTATTTTTATTTCATTTTATCCTTATTTGTCTCCCTCCACCGAGTATTTTTGTGTATATAAGTGGGGAAAATCGATGATTATCTCTATCTGATCAACAATGGGCACCATCAGGCTCCCTTAGCCCCGAGCTGGACTAAGGGAGGGCACAATTTTACTAGCAACGAACAGAGGCTCCTTTGGGGTGGAACTGCACTTTGCTTGTTCACAAATGACTCCGAAATGCACGCCTTACGGACAAGTCGCTACCAGTAAAGTGAGCACTCTCGCCCAATATGGCTCTTTGAAACCAACGAGTGGGTTCTCCTGCTCAAGATGGATGATGCCCTAGTACCTGAAATGGTTTGATGAATGTTAATGGGTCAAAGGTGAGCACAGAGAAAAATTATACTGCATGTGACTTGTGCAATTGAGTCTTCTTCACTATGGTCGTTTTCTTTTATTTCCTATGAGCCGGTCACATCTGGCAGTCTGACCAGCGGGCCACTATTGATTGGATATCGATCATTCTTTAAATTTAAGGTTCAGAGTGTGACATTTTCCCGTCCCTGTTACCTCTGATATGTATACCAGTGATACGTTTGACAAGAGCTTATCACAGAATTTGATTTCAAACTATTTGTTTTTATTTGTTTGGCAGTTAGTTTGCAATACTTATTCGGTCTTGGAAATTAAACGTTTTCTAATCATTCAAAAATAAATGCCATATGTATCAGGTACGGGAAAACGAATGAACCCCAAATTTTTAGACTGACCCACATTTCATATTTAATTTCAAGCGAATTGAAAAACAGATTTTCAAATGATTGCACAACTGAATTTTTCCGTGGACAAAAAAACCAAGCTTCAGAAAAACCTTTATTGAACCTAGTTTCAACGTTTAAAAACGGCCATCTCAACAGGTAAGGTGGCGGGCCTTGGACAACACAGAAAAGGCAAATTAATTGATGTAAGGCATTTTCTACAGACTCAGACGACATGATGAAACAATAGGATGAACATACAATGACCACACGTAGAATGCAGTCTCCGCAGTGACGTGGTTTTTTAAAATTGTATCAAGTTCTTTTACGAACAGAGAGAGTCAGCATAATAACAGTCATGGTTTTGTCGGTCGTCTACATGTGAAAAGGGCGACATATTGAGCAGAATTAGGCAGAATATCTCAATTCCCTAGGGGTGTTACAACCTCACGGGTGTATTCCTTAAATCTGCCGTAGTAACTGCGCTCTCCCTTAGTTTCTGTCGTCGCAAACATACTATCACCCAGGTCAAAAGGTTCAAAGTTGATCTCACCTACAATAATCGTCTCTTCCGTCGCCATCTTTGTCTTTCATGTACCACGTGTCCGTGTGACCCAGGTCAAGCCAATTCTCTGGATTGGGAGAGTTGTAGTTGTATTGGCTTTGACCCTGAGTACCAGCCAGTGCGCAGGACAACATCTTGAATTGGCCAATTGAGACAACTCTGAGAAATAATGATTTAAGTTTGAAAAGAGAAACCATCCTTGGTGGGATTTGAACAAAAGACCTGGAACACCAAGTTAATGGTAGTCAAACAGAGATTTGGTGATTTCCCACTTTGCTGAAATAACATTATCGGGTAAAATGGAACGAACAAAATTAATAAGGTGTGTATTTTAATATACCTTTAGAAAAAAGTCTCCCTCATAGGCGGATAGGGTGCGATAGAGTGCAACAGTTTATCTATAGGCCATGGAAGAAAGGTATGTTCTCGATATAGAACGAAATGACAACTTACAAGATCTTGTGAAGGTGCGTCTAGTTTGCAGTGTTAATAACGCGTATTGATCAAACTACAAGCAACACATCCATGTTATGAAACCGGGGTGTCACATACTTTGCTTGGTTTATGACGTCACATGAACATAAACCCTATGCTGAAACAGCATATTACCATTAACTTGCCTGCAGTAATCGTTCGCAGCACCCTGTCCTTGCACGTCAGCCCAGCCGTAAAATAGCCTATCAATACCTTTATCTATGATGTCGTAACGGCGGAGTTTGATGCAGTCCTTTTTGGTGGAGCCCATTTGTTCTAAGGTTCAGACAAAGTAATGAAAATGGAAACGTGGTGCTTTCAGCTTGAAAACTGAAAACTATTCTAATTTCCTGTAATTTTTTTTTCTCCAGTTTAAGTAATAACAGATATTATCGTGCAGGTGGTACGTGAGTAATTATCAGGCTTTTGTTTTGTCTACTTGGGGATTGTGGCTGCTAGAGGGACAGTTATAAATCCTGTTAGACAAAAACGTATCAGGTGTGGTTCTTAAGTTACTAAAAGCCAAGATCAAATCCTTAGGAATTGCCAGAGTAAACTACCTTCAGGTTGGTCGTCGTAAGATGGCAGTTTGTCGCAGTTGATTTCCGACGGCCATTTAAAGCCGATGCTTGCTGTAGCCTCGGCGCATGCACTCTTCACGTTGCGGCACAACCTCTGCGATGGTAGATTAATTTCCTGCATTGTCCCGGAACCCTGAATAGCCCAAAAGTCTGGTCAGATGCAGCAGATATTGCTTACTTTGATCATAGCTGGTCTTTCGGAGGATTATAACATGTCAATGCAAATGGGCCTTAAATCCACACATTTAGAAGTATTAAAAAAAACACTCTAAAAGGTTCCAAGTCGGATTTGACCCGGAAAGGGTCAGATCTTACCCTGACTCTGGGTCCCGGGGGCCTGACTCGTCACAAGTCCGCATGACCTGGCCTTCTGGGTCAGACAATTTTGACACAGATTTTTTTTTTTTTTTTACATTTCCAGACAGCCATTCAAAGCCCTGTGTTTGGGCTAGGCTACGCCTTGCCTAGTAAACTTCGTGGTGTTTTCAAATTCGTGGATTTTATAAAGCAAATACTAAAATCTAAATATGAACAAAGGAACTGACTGAGGAGGGATGCACCTGCGACCTCGGGAGCACCGTACTGGTGCCTTACCAACTGAGCTATCCAGCCATTATATGGTGACTGGAGTGGGAAACTTCAAGTTACTGACAAGGTATTTCATTCACCAAAGAACCAGTAGTGGAGAAAAATTCCCAGCTCGACATATCCCGGTCATGCTGACCCGGAAATGGGTTAAGCGCAGTTTGACCCGGCCTTGGGCTAGACGTGCGGACCCTTTTGGCGGTCAAGAATTTACTGCGCTGGAAGTTTCTAAGAAAGTTTTTTAGTTCAAACGACTTTGTTTTAAGATTTGAAAAAAAAAACAAAAAAACAAAACAAATGCCCACTTAATCTACTGGGTGAGTGGTAAATCTGATCTGATTTAAAGGAATACATCCCAACATGTCATGTTTTTCTTCAAGTTACATGTAATTTGATGCATGATGAAATCGCAACGAATATATACATAACAACTGTTTGCACACCCTCACTTGTATATTGATCAGGTTTGCAGAATGCCAAAGTTCAAGTCTATACGTTAGTTTAAGGAAACCGTCAGAAAAATGAATGCTTCCCTAACAGGATTGGTAAAAGGTCAATGGAAACTAACAGGTGATTGGGATTTATTCCAGTACATGGAACAACAGACAACAAGTACAATAACTGGAGAAAATTGGGCCGTAAGCGATCTCACAGCAAAAGAAACTAACAGCTTCACATTCTGGGGCGTAGAAGGCGCAAACCAGTTCCAGGAGATCAGACGAACATTTGGTGCTCAGCAGAGGCAGGAAATGGTAGGAGGAGACCAGGGCTTGATATTGAGAGGTGTGACCGAACACATTAGGGGACTGGACGAAGCCGGTACGCACGAACGGTGCACATAAAGTGTGGTTGAGAGATGGTGGACATCTTACTAAAATGTAAATAAAATAAATAATAAGAACCACCATCACTTTAGATACGAAGTTCTAGCAATGTTCACAACATGTTAGGTACTCATCATGTCCTGTACGTGTTTACTTACAAGGAGGTGTGATGACGGTCGTGCGTGGCAATGTCCCTCCAGCCGATTTGCACGCGTAGGTCCCAGCATCTTCCAGAGGAACCTTGTCGAAGTAGAGTATTGTCATCCGGGGGGAAAGTGGAATGACACGCCTCCCTGACAGCGACCGATCTGCGATGCAAGTAATTGTTGACGTGTCAACTCGTTTCCCAGTTTGTACCGGCTATACTTTTTGGTTTAATGACTATAGAAAGCGGGAGCCAATCAGGGATAGAATCGGTTATAATTTTTCTATGTGTATGGTACAACGTCCAAATTGATCATGGGACATCTTCAACGGAGAGCGCCGATTTCCAAGTCACTTCCGAAGTACGCACCAATATAGGCAGAGTTAGAGTATACATCAGCCAAAAAAAATATCTCTTCCTGTTATTTTTAATTGAAATGCTTGCTTATCTTCCTCGTTATAAAGCATTACAAAGGCAACAGGAATATATATCTCTCTCCTGCTGCGAGATTTAAGCAAAATAAAGCAAAGTAAGCAAACTGCTATAAATATTGCTGTCATGGACTAATACAAGGAGATACCAAATTATCACACTGACAAATATTCTAAAATTTGTTTCCTACCCACATTTTGCAGGACACAATGGTAGATGAAGTATGTGGTATATGCAGTGGCCCTCATTGCCAAAGTGTGCCTATGATTGGCAACAGTATGACAACAGGCCATGACTGATTTCCTGTGCCCTGATTGCAAAACAAGGCGTCATCTTAATTGATGGACTTTCATGACACTGAGCGAAAATCATGAAAGCAAAATGACACATCAAAAATTCCTAAAGCGCTTAATGTGTTAGTAGCATCGATTTCATGTTCTGGATAAGAAACTGAAAAAAATCTGGCTTGAAAAAGTTCCCAAATTATTTTTACTTAAAAATATCAGCCTAAAATGGTTTTATCTTGTAGAGCATCTTACTTATATTGACATTGTGCGATTTTGACATTGGTATTGACAAAGAAGACACTGACAAAGACATCGACACTGACAATGACATTGACCCTGCGATTTATAATAATATTGATATTGATATTTGCACTGGCATTGACATTGACATTGACATTGTTACTGTTGCTGATGCTGATTCTGGTGTGGGATTTGTGTTAATGTTGAATTTTCTCTTGATATTGATGATAACATTGGCATGGTATAGTATGGTTTTATGTGTTGAGTGTGGTGTGTTGCTATGCCATGATAAAAACATATGGAAGTAGATTTTCGTAAACCTTTTTTGTCAAATTCGTATTTTAGTGTGTCAGTATAAAAGAAACGATTCCTGTCTAGATTTATTCCATGTTTTTCTCCAATAACAGAATTTATGGCTAAACGAACAAGGTCAAAGCTTAATAGTACAATCAAAACATGTGCAGTGAAGGATTGGCACGTACCAGAAGGTAAAGTCGGTGGAATGAGTTTGCCATCAGGACCGTAGAACTCTGGCGGTGATTCCGGTGTCTCTTCCTCTACTAAGCAGTACACCCTCACGCCCGCTTCGAAATATCCAGCATGTGCATTTCTGTGCAGAGAAGCCTCTGTAGAAAATCACAGGTATTTTCAGGTAGGCTTGGTTCCTCGTTGTCTTTGCTGTTTATTATTACATTTCTTGTTTAACCACTCTATTATCACTCTATTAATGCAATAAAAAGGCATTTATCAGTTAAAATTGGCCACTTGAGAACACTTAGCCTGATAGCCAACCGATAATAAATGATAATAAATAAAAAATAAATATAATATAATAAAAAATGATAAATAATAATTTAAAAATAAATAATGAGCCTGGTAATACTGGTCTTTCAACAAGCCATACTCTACAGCGGTTATAGCTAGGTTAAAGGGGACTTGGCAGTCTTAAAGGACATTGGTAGCTTAAGAACTACAAACAATATCAGCTTCATTCACCAACAACCAAAAAAGGTTATTCCAAAAATACGATGACCGGTATGCATATTTTATCTCGGTGGTTTACTAAAGGGTTTACAACAGGCAGCTAAGATTTTTTTTTCAAAGATCCACCTAGACTCATGAAACTTTCTGTTGGTGTCACTGTGCCATTGCAATACGGGCGTTTCGCAATAGTGCGCCTCTAAGAGTGTGCAACGCGTTGGCCAAACGCAGTGCGCGAAATCTGTCGACCCAATGCGCCTTTGGAAAGGGTCGACAGATTTTGCACGTTGTAATTGGCCAGTGTGTTGCAAATGGAGGCGCACGATTGTGAATCACTCGTACTGCTCCTTGGTGTCTCTTATACTAAGCGTGAACGCGAAGAAAGTGTGAACTCTTGCTCAAGCCATTGCTTCGTGCGTATTGTCTCTCACCTACAGGTAGTTTGCACGGACATCCAATACGTGAAACATGGGAAGTTCACGTTGGATCATAACGTGAGAAACTGCAACTGATACGGAATGGACATCTTTGGGAAGTGCAACTGGGATTTTTTCACACTTGGTTTATGATGACTAATCACACATCTTTGGAAAGATTTACAGGATGTTATTGATAATATTTCCTTTTATTCGAGTGTTTGCTGGAAGATGTACATTTTGTGCGGGACTCGCATCTAAACGTTTAAACAGGCATTTGATCCCCGTGCACCCGTGTGCAATTTTTAAAAAAAAGTGTTCACGTTCACTTTTGCGTGATACGTGTAATAACTTCCCTGACGTCAATCCACCGTCGCAATTCAGCAGTAACGTGTCTCACCGTAATATTCATTAATTCATCCATTCAGCTGCTATTCAATCTGGTGAAAAATTCCAAGCTAACAGACGTGTACTCTTCCACGCACTATTTAAGAACCATTTTGGAAAATCAAAGTGAGCGTCATTGAAATATACTTACCAGATGTCATCCAATCAAATTCTCTAATGCAGCTCGAGTCTGTCTCATGTCTGAAGTAACTGCAGGGCAAAGTCTCCAGTAGCCAGTCAAGTTCGTCCATGATTGAGGAGGCCTTGCACGCGCTTTGGACGCTCTTGCAGAACTCTTGACATGGATAGCGCAAACTCTGAGACTGAGTTGGGCATCTGCTCCATAATAAAGAAGTAATCCTCCCATTAGAGTTAATTTCACAGCGTTTAAAGGGGTCAAGTTGTCCTAAAGAGCGATATATTGAGCTAAGAGTTTAACCCAGCCGCTCCCTCTGCAACTCTGTGGATACAAATAAAGTTTTAACCCTTTCGTTTTGTGTTCCCCTGACCATTCTAAATATACCTTGCTCCGCTGCCTTTTTTTCATTCGCATCCTAATGAAATCAGTTGAGCTCCATTGCGTACTTTTTGGAATTTTTGACGTCGAAAATAGCTATATGCATTACAATTACATGATTTATAAATTTTTCTCTTTACGACAGGATTGGTTGTCTCACTGTGCCCTATCGAAGGCCGATTACTCTTGAGGAGTTGAGCTATTTGGCGATCACTTCGTGATTCTCAGAAATCGTATAGGGCACCGTTGCTGAGTGGTTCAGGCCAGCATCACTTAGATACCTACCGTTGTTTTCCCACCTCTCCCTCTTTCCTTAAGGAAAGGTGAGCGTGTTTTGGTATGAGTTGCCCGTAAAGGATATGATGCATAAAAGTCTGATCTCGCAGTATTGGACATTGACAGAGCCTATCCTACGGGTGTGTGGATTACCAATATAATTATCTCTCCCGCTTTCACTGACGTCATGCACGACCGGCTTTGCCACTGCCCATAAGCCCCCCTAATCGAAGGGGCGCCTTGGACCGTGTGCTTTGTTACGCTATGCTCAAGAATGACCATCCTGTGATCATCCCCCACATGTGACAGGAAATCTCCGCCCTTGGTATCGGATTTCCATCGTGAAAACCATACAACCCACGACAGGAAATTTTGAACTACAGTTGAACAAATTAAATATTAACTTTTGTTTTGCAACAGGCATTGAGGGTTCACCCGGTAAATGCATTTTCTAAAACACACTGCATATTGTTTCATATTAAGGCTATGAAAGAAATGAAAATCAATCCTATCCGGTTCGTAAGTGTGACGTCACTTCAGTTCGAACCACACCCACTGCGCATGCACTGCGTATAGAATTACATGCATTGATCGCCGTTTACTTGGAACCATGGAATCGGAGGTTAACGTGCAACTTCAGCGAGCGTCTAATTGGGAGCCTGAAAATCGTGGCACCACCGCGTTTGTGACTAAGTCGCTTACCAACCGGATTGGAAAAAGTCATCTGCTTTCGCATACGGCCTGTCTGTTTCACAGCGATTTGGATCTCGATCAGTGGTCTCCTCAATTAGGGGCATATGATGGAATTAAATCAACGAGGATATTTCTGATCGAGTTTCTCATCTATGTGAGACAAATAGGTCCAAACAAATAGGGTCTTTAAACGTTTCCAGTACGGGGGTGTCACGATGGCGCATAGTAGCTCGTGTAGACGTGATAAACATCCATCGCCAGACTCCAGTAACTCTTCCGAGAAGTAATCTTGCCATTCAGTCAGCAGCCTGTAGGGGGGGTCCCACTGCCAACGGCCATGAAGGTGAACGACTGTGTCATAGCCAAGTCGGCTGCAGTGCATTATGTCAGCTGGTTCGCAGTGTTCTGGCAAGGCCTCTGCACAATAACATGCAAGACTTAAGTAACAGTTATTTGAAAGACTCAAACGGTGACCTGATGCATGGGCAATCTATCACGAATTTTATTTTAATTGAATTTTGTTTTACATTTTCCTCGATATTTTTTCATTTCCATTTCCCCTCCTTAACTTTTAGTATTAACTTGTACCACCCAACACAAAGACTATCGGTTTTTCCCAAAATATCCTTCTGTTGGAGTTTATTCTGCGATGATTTTAAACTAAATGACACTTTTCCCCCTAAAGGCGTACTTAAGTGACGTAGAACCAATCTTTTCACTGAACGTTCTTAGTAAATGGTAAATGTCCGTTTACCTTGACAACTTACCGATGACATACGGAGGAATCCAGACAGCTGACGGCTGAGCTCCTAATCCATGGGCATTCAGAGGCCACAGCACCACATGACATCCGGCCGTGTCGTACAACTTAATATATATCTGTATTTCAAGTTATTTTTCGTTTAATTCATATCTGCGTCTGCATTCTTTTTATAGAGGAGGTTTTTATTTTCTTCCAGGGAAGATGTAGAAGTGACAGAGAAGAGGACTGAAAAACGAGAGGAAAGATTGAAAGCGAGGAAATGCAATATTTACAAGAAAGGCTCAAACTAAACGGAAAAGTAGACAAATGTCTAGTGAAACACAGAGAATTTGAAAAAAAAACCAAATCGCAAGAAAATTCCTGCATAAAGATTTTTAGCCCCTCCTATGGGCCTCGAGCTGCACCAAAAAGGGCACTACTTTATCATCAACGGAGGCAACTTTGGTTGAAAATGAACTTTACTGGCTCACAAACTACTGCAGATAATGCATTCACTACGGTTGCATCACTGTATACCAACAAAATAAAAACTCCAAACATGGCTCTTTTCAACTGCTCGAGAGGGATAGTCGAGAGCCCATATTGCGGCCGGTAGTAAGCGGTGGGAGGCCTACTATAGTGTGGCAGGGTGTTAAAGGGTGTGAACACCATTTTGCTTTGGTTGTAATTTCACAAGACGGGCTGTTTACAATGTATAGCAATCACTGCAACTTACATTCCACTCACTGGTTTCATGAGTCAACTGCTTTGTGAAAAATTAAGAAAAACAGCGCAGCATTTTATCGAAGATCTTGAAATTTGTCTTGCGTAGAATGTACGGATATGGCGTTCGTAGTAAGCGAAAAACATCCGCGGGGTCAAGGTTGGAAACGGGAATTACAGGTTCTCATTCCCTTAAAAGAGAAAGGTTTTCAACGGCTTGGAGTAATCAGTAAATTTACCTACGCCTCCTCAACAATGTAGCATTTCAAGTGATAGTAACTCTTATACCATTGCCATCGTAAAATAAAGAGAGAAGAAAAACAGAAAAAGACAAAAATTCTGTTTTCTCAAAAACTACATCATTCTCGGCAGAAATATTTTACAAGCTGATCGACGCTGTTAGTTACTTTCTGTCAAGTAAAATATTCAAGGATTACACAGAAGTCCGATTTGGGGGATTTTACCAATGGTGTACACTACCTTTTAAAAATGATCAAAATCCTTGGATATTTATCTTTTTTCAAAACTTGTTCTGACTTTCTGACGTAGAAAATTATTTATTGACTGAAACATGTGTTTGCTGGGCCACATTTTAATATTTTAAACCTTCTTTTAAGACCGCCTCAGGAGGATGGACGGTCATGATTGCATTCTGTGTCACCAATTACAGTACACGCTAGGCTTGCGCCAAAGGAGATTGTTAGCGACCGAAAGACACTTTCCGAATTATAGGTACTGAGAAAGGGAGAGGTTTAAACAAGTCATTTATTTTAATAAATTTAAAAATTTGATCTTGAGATTCTGACTCAAAAGGTATTTATGAATGGGAATACAAAAATGCGTGATTGACCAGTAATTAACGCTGAAGACCAGTTTCTAAGAAAGACGCTGATAACGTTCGAAGCTAAAAGGTGAAGGGCATTATCCTCAGTTGTGGTGAGGCACACTAACTTAAATACAGGGAGGAGAATATGACAATTAAGTCATTACCTTCTTTGGGCCTGTATCATACATCTCAATATCCCAGTAAGTGTCTCTTGAAAAACTCTTTCGTGAAATCTTGTCATACGTGACGTACCCCACTTCCTTGATAAATTCGACAATGCCATGGGTTAAGTTGACTCGGCTGGCGTTCAGGATTGTCACTGGCTCTTGGGGTCTCTTCATATCTGAGGGGAGGAGATAACGCTGATTGCGTTTAGTACCTTCCTGCTTTTAACATGGACACTTTTTAATTACCTGTGTTAAGAACCACTCACCCTTCTAACTGTGGTCAAAAGTAACGAGTGGTGCAAAGCGTTGAAGCCCAGACGTCAATTTTCACAGCAAAGTACCCACGCGTCCAGTGATTTGAAAAGATAATGACTACAGAATATTCATGAAGGTATGACATCAGAGTAAAAAAGAGTGTATTATTGGAAGCATTTTTACAACGTTACCAAGAGTAACCGAAAATTAACGAAGTTGGCAAGGAAAGATTCCGCACGACCGTTTGAAATTTTTGTGAGACTTGAGAGCAAATTCACAGTCTTAGCTGCAAGCAAAGCAGTCTCACTCAATATCACTCACCTGCACAGCGTGCATTGAGAATTAAGACGCGCACCATTTGATTCACTGTTATACCAACTTGTTTTTAAGGACTCTTATTCTTGTAAAAAAAAAAACAATATTCATAACATACAATGTGCTATCTGGTCTCGATTAGTCAGTGAGAATCTTGAATAGGATGACCCTAACCAGCAGGCCTATGTGAAGTCTCGCATAGATCAATTAGTACTCAACCAAAATGCACCTGTTCATTTTTTTTTTATTAAACATAATTCTCACAACTGAATCAAAATTACGCCTTTCACTAGCTACAACCCTTGACAAATCTCGTTGGACCCCCAACCCCGGGCCCCTTCGCAATGTTGGGTCTTAACGCACGGTCTGCGCTCCACCTCGAGATGACAACATTGACCGGGGAGTGAAGGACCTGCAAAGGATATGGCTACTGACACGTGTCCCAACATTTTTGTCCAGGATTGTAACTATTCCCTTTAGAACATAGAACATGAGCCTGGGTGTTATACACACAACGGCGCAACACAAAATTTGAATTAGCATTGTTCATATGAGGAGGCCTACGAGTGTGCCGCGCCAGGTTGGTTCTAAACACGCCTGTGGTGATTTTAAGCCCTGGTACTGTTTCGAACATTCAAATAAGAATTGCCTTTAATGCGTTTATACGCATCATCTGACGTGTGAGAGTTAATGCAGGCGGAAGTTCACAATGGGCGTGGAGTCTTGGAAACTCATCTTACGTGTATGCATTACTTCTTATAAACTGCTAGTCAGTGCCATTTTCAAATCCTCAACAGATCTTAATCTTGAGGAAAACATGTTTTAAATCTTCTGACTGGAATCTGATTTACAACTTGTATCTCTTGTCTTCTCCCGATATCTTAAAATATCTTTCCTTAATTAATGTTACCCTCAAATATTAAATTTGGCCTTAATTATCTGTCTGCACATGTACAAGTTTACCTGAATCGCAGTCTTTTGTAGGGTACAAATGGCACTGCATCAACCGTGGCCGCTTTTCCAGCAGCTCTTCCGCTTTCGTGCGGCAACTTTTCCAAACGTCCTCGCAGACACTCCGGCACGGTAGCGGCCACAGCGAATGTTGACCCAAACTCGTCGGGTGCAATGCCCCAATGCAAGCAAATAGCTGGAGCTCCTTCGAGCATCCAGAGTCAATAAGCGATGCCAGGCTGTCCAAGTCGTCCACGGCTTCCTGCATGGTGGTGTAACCCAGGGCGGTGGGAAAGTTTGTCATCGGATACCATAGGGAATGGCATTTCGCATGCAGCACGTCAACGCAGCCGTCCTCATCGCATTGAAACGAGTACAAGCCCGGTAAGACCGTAGGCGGCAGCGGAGACACCAGCGGATCATAGTGTACCCCTACAAGAACAACATGCAACCACTTCAGTGCGCTTGTTTTCAACAACTCTACAAGGCACCGAAAAAGGGTTAAAGCCTTTCCAAAAAATCTTCTGAAGGAAATACGTTCTTTGCTTCCCTGATAAAACGCATGTGCACTCTATATGCACCTGTGAGGTGCAGGCTGGAATTTTGACCTGGGTCAAACTCAGTCCAAAGAGACCACGACAAAATTATGTGATACACTGACCCTTTAAGGACTTTAGAAAGGTAGTTGGGAGAACTTGAGGACGAGCAAACAGTCCCATGTAGGCAGAAACGTTAGTCACTATTAATGACGGCTGACTGACGTCACGAATCAATTATGGCAGTGCGCCTCCTGAAAAAATAAGATATCTTGACCAGGATGTCCCTTTAATTTTTGTCGATGTGGCACGGGATTGTTCGTTAGATTGAAGCAGTCATTGTAATCCCAGTTCGCCCCGGCACCAGCTTCGGGTTTTACCATTACCAGCTGGGGAATTATCTCAAGAACAATGAATAATATTGAACAATATGTCTGTGGCTTATACCATTGAGAAGTTTAGGAGGTTATGTAGAACTTCATAATGTGAGAAATTGGAATAAAGTAACTGAATAATCAGATTTTTTCCCTCCTTTAAAGGCAAGAACTATTCTATTCAAACAGTTTCAGACAAGCTAGCAGCTTTTTCATTTTAAAACTGAAGGAATCTGCAATCTGTATTAGAGTTTCCTCAACAAAGATTTCTTAAAATTGTCCTACACACGTTCAGAATGGAATCGGCATCCTGCTTTTTGGCGGACTATGTAGTTTTCCACTACTTGACCTGCAGGCCTCATTTTTTTTTTAAACTGACTTTGAAATTGTTAAGGCGACAGTAAGTCTGACAGTGCCACAAAATATCACGTTAGATGCAAAAGAGCCCAACATTACAGTAGTTCAAATTAATTAAAAGGCTTCAGGTCTACAATTAGGGATTGGTTTTATAGACGAAGCCTCAGACAGAGATGAAGTTGAAAAATGGCCCTTAGTCACATGTAGTCGTCGTATGTACTCGGATCCAACTTGAGCTCAAGCCACAACCGTTCCAGCATAACCCATATGTAATCGTGATAATTTTGTATCAGCAACGAAGTATACTGCCACTGGCTTTCCAGATTTCAGAATTAATGAAATAACATAAAAGCAGAAACACAGAAAAACAAACTTGCCCTGGCAGTTGCTGCTGCATAGTGTGCATTATACTTGTGCAGAATTTCTGCAACGAAACTGATGAAAGCACCATATTCACGTGTTGACACCACGTCTCGGAAATTTTGCAACTACTCGTGATTAACCGATTAATCACGATAAGTTCGTGTGTGATTAATCAACTAGCAAACTTCACTTATCGCCCCGTGGTAATATTGATGCTTAATTGTTTTGCCGAGGTTTGGGGGAGGGGGACGGCTCCTTGCCAGGCGGGGCCCTGTCCCTCCAGCCTCGGATCCCTCTTTTCACAGGCCAGATCAAAGTTTTTTTGTTTTCTCTAATTCTCGCCCTAACCATTTATATTCTTTTTAATGTAGCCCGGTGGAAAAGAAAAAACACAATATTGGTGTAGTCTCAGGAACATCCACTACATAAATTTAATTTAATAAATTAATAAATTTTAACAAGTGACACATCATGTGACACGAGGCAGGAGTTACTGATTATGAGCCGATAAAGTTGATGGTTGGTTAACAGACCCCTAGTGAAGATTACATGCTTTTGGTGGTGACAAAACCCGGAAAAATAATAATGTTCTGGATTTGTTTTTCCTGCCCTTTTACCTCTTCTGATTCAAAGAAGAAAATAGCAAAGTTTCAAAGCATAATGCTGTTTTCTTTCTTGCAAAAAGCTTGGTCTATGGGTTTTTCTGCTTTCATGACGTCACAAAATGTCACCTGGTTAGCAGGGCAAGAAAACAACATACACCATCTCAGCACTTGTCTGTGTGTACAAATGCTTGCGAACGATGTTGTACATGAACACCCCTGCGTGTGTTGGAATGTAACGAAATGTAATTTTTTTTTCAAACACGTATGTTTTTCACAAAGTGACCAAAAAAATTTGTTTATTATTGAACTATTTTTTTAATCAAGACAATATATCTGCAACTAAAAATGGATTACCATTTTTAAAGTCTTACATTTCATCACTTTGTAAACAATTCCTCAACCTGTAGCATAAAAGTGATCGAAAATGTGCATTTTTAAATGTATTTATCTCGGATTGTCCGTTTGGCAAGATTTTGAGGTTTTGGTCAATTCGTGAAAACACCGCGGAAAATTTAGTGATTATGCAATTGGTCACTACAACAACAAACAATTATACATTTACTTTAGAAGCAATTATTAGAAATCCAATGCATCTTTGATCAATGGAAAATAAGTACAGTTTTACACCTGGATTATAAATGTTTTCATGTCCTAACGTAAAACTTGTCTCGAGTCGTCCAACCACGAAATGCACGAAGCCCGTCGCAAAAACTACCGAATTCATCCATTAATCCCCTACATTTATCATACGTTTCCACCTTTAATAAATCTAAGCACTTGCCGATTATGTTGAACCACCTTTGAAGAAACATGGGACCTTAAAGCCTTGTTAATTTTTACATTGTTTTCACGGGCAAGGTATTGATTTTAGAATTTCTTTGCAAATCATCGGAATTATGAGAAATATTATGATTAAAATAACTTCCAATCAGTAAATAAAAACATCATTAAAAATGTCATGCAAACTTTAGAAGGAGAAACCATAATAAAACTTGTACTTAAGAAATGGATGTATGCAGGAAAATCGGCAACAAGAATCAAATTATATTCGGCCGTTCTTGGCAGGTTTTACCGACAGTTCCCAAATAATCATCTCGCCCTTGGAGCGCACAAATTATTTGCCAGTTCCAGTAGCGTAGCAAGCTTTTGGTATATGGGTGGGGCGTACATTTTAAAGCGGATGCTGCTTCGGGCTCATTCAACATGATGTTGGAGGAGAAAAATATCAAATGCCTTCCCACGGTTTCGACATCCTTTGCTTTTATTTGCTGGTGTAGTTTTCTTAGTGTTTTGCTGCTAATTGTTGATAAATAAATATACCAATTACTTTCTTTCCTACTCACCAGTGAAGTATTCTTCAAAGAAAAAAACAGAAAAAATCTGTCGGGGAGGGGCGAGTTGTCCCCCTACCCCCTCCCCCGGAAACTCTTTATTTTTAATCGCTTTTTTCACGGCACATGTCCACCCCGAAGTGCAACCAAGGTCATTGGGGACAGTAAGACGTTCCAGCAAGGTCTGCCCTATCATTGCGGCTACACGCCGACCTAAACACTTGATTTATTCTTGAATGACGTTGCCCTTTGTCACACTAAATTGTCTATAAACCTTCACTTTACACATAAAGCCACCGCGCATTCTAGGCCTACCTGGCATGAGACATGTCGGATACGAGTCACTTTGCGTCGGGTAGACCGAGCAGTCAGTCACACTCGGAGGAAGTTTCATCCTAAAAATATCAATGACGGACAGACAGGACTTGGTAAGAACCTGCTGACACAGCGACCGACAGGGCGGGATCGGCACGGTGACATCTTCAATAATCTGAGGAAAGGAAAATGTTAAGTGTAAAAACGAAGGAAATTGCATGCACATTTCAGACTTTCATTTCATTGGCAAGGAATTACGTTCCACTGGCAAGTCAAATTGAGATCACGAACAAAAACACATGTAACTACAATCATGAATGACTGCACTTATTTTCCAGGAGAGGAAAAAGGAAAAAAATGGACCTTTAAATATCTGATATATGGACTCTTGTTCTCTTAATTATATGATTACGCGAAAACCAAATTTTGACACCCCCAGGTAATACCTTACACATTTCAAAAGAAACTATTCTCTAAACGGACATTTATGCACATTTCCAATCAACCCATTCAAAGCTTAAAAATACAATGTGACAGTTGCAGGGTATGAGAAGTGGTATTCGGTTCAGACCAGGGAAGTCCTGATGCTCATAGCAAAGTGTGTGATGTCAGCCATTAAAAATCCCCACAGCAGCTGGTGTGATACCTTGCAAGGCGGAAGGTAAGCCAGACACAAATAGCTTCTCAGCAGATCGGAGCACTGCCGTCCTTCCGACATGAACACGCTGTATTTGTGTAGCTCTACCAGGGCTTCCGTAGGGTTTTGTTGACCGGCAATATTTGGGAAGATGACGGTGGAGTACGACATTGCCTGGCAGATCGGGTCATTGGGGAGTGGCTGGCAGCGTTGGGATGGTTCAGGATGAATCACCGTCGGCGTAGGTGTGACTTTGGATGAATCTTCACCCTCACTGTCATTTCCTTCATCATCCTCATCCTCGCCTGTGGATATAAATGTGGTCTGTCAGTTTGGGTTCTTATTCGTCAGTGTGTACTTGGAGGCAAATTTTTACGTTATTTATTTTAATTTATTTATTTATTTAATTATTATTATTTGGCGTGGAAGAATTGCAATATCAAAATGACTGTCTTTAGGAGTCATTTCAAGTCAGCACCTAACTTTCTTAGTCTTTGATCAAGCATGATAAGAGCGTTGTGGGTGTTTTGCTGCCTATTCTTGAAAGTTCCGAACGGTAATGTCATTTGGTTTTGGAGAAAAAGTAAGCCAGCCGCATATTGTGTTCCATTGTGCAAAACACATCTTATCTTGCCACCTAAGACGAGTCCCAACGCCAAGATTGATATTTGTTACAAAGGCACAAAGCCAATGAGCTGCATCCTGTGACGTGAACATTTTATGCCAGGAAATAGGGTTGGGTATTGGAGGAGGATCTTCATAAAAGAATTGCCTGACCCGGGAATTTTGAAATAGGGATTACGTAGCACTTGGGGGCGCTGTTCATACAGCTTCAATCAGTGCATTCTGGGGACGATCGTGTGCGAGCGGGAACAAGCGGGACAGTGGGAATGGAGTTGAACCACTCATCTCTATCGGAATAGACAGCTCAGCAGTAACAGCCTATGTGTGAATTGAAGTGACTGCGTGCGCCATCTTAGGATATTCAATACAATGGCTTCCAACTTCAGTGCATTTATGCACTGCGCTAAAGCCAGTGACTTGGAAAATACCATTGTATTGAATACCCTAAGATGGCCGTGCAGTCGCTTCAATTCCAGTGCAGAGCTGCCTGTCCAGTCTATAGAGATCAGTGGGTAGAACCCATGTATTTCGTGGAATTAAGTCGAATGCACCATCATGTAGGTTATATTCAGTCCAACCTGAATCTTATTACATCGATACGGCATGTTTGGTATTTTCCCCCTCCCTTCTTCATTCTTACTGAAAACATTTCAATTGTTGGGAATTCTAAAAAGATTCCTCAAAAATCTTTTTTCCTCCTGGAAAAACTGGGGGAATGAATCAATGACCAATCTTCTGTGAACAAACAGTCCCGATAATTACGTCTAAGGCTGCATCAGAAAGTAAAACATGAACGGCAGCAGTCGCTTAGCCTGATCGCTAAGGGAACAGGCAGGAAGCCATGGTTAGTGACGAAGCAGTTACTTACCTAACAAGGGATCGAAACAGAAGCTATCGGAATCGTATTCGTCAAATCTGTCGCAGTTCAGGCTCTCTGGCCAGGCGACACCTAGGGCGACCCCACTCGTGCAATCATCCCTCACGCGCTGACAGAAATTCCTGCATGGGAGGAAAGGCATGGACATTCCAGGAAAGCACCTAGGGAAGAGCACAGAGCACAGGAACTGCTGCAGATGGGGAGAGCACTGCACCTGCAGGAACGGGTAGAAATCGTGGTACCCAGCTACAGCCTGTGCCATGGTCTCGTGGCCGAAAATGTTAGGAAGATAGGTGATGTTGTCCAACGGTACCATGGCGTCCTGTTGGCCTAACAGCTCTATGGTCTGACAGGCGGAGAAGGTCAGGTTGACATGATGGGTGCAGTAATCTAACACCAAAACAAATCATCGAAGGTTAGAGTATTTGAATGAAACCATATAATAAACGATTTAATTCTTGTTTGTTTAAACCCAACCCATCAACCGCCTCCGTTAACAAAATGAGATTTTCAAATAAGAAGCGTGCTTTTATTGCAAACAATAGCCCCCTTCCTGACGTAACTTGGATATATAGGTTGGTATGCACAAAGAAAAGGAAATACAGATGTGGGTTGAGCTCGCTCGCGTAGTTTGGTGAGTGATTGGAATCGTTGCCTGTGGTTTGAAATCCGGACGGTTCTGTCTTTTATGCTGTATAAAGAAGTGAACGGTACCCATAAAAATGTGATTGCCATTTTTAGGCGACATCCTGCCGCTGATGCATCACATCAGCTTCATAGTGCACATTGACGAATTGAAGATACACTTCAGTTAACGGTAAAGCCTTAGGTAGAAAGAAGCTTTACAGTCATAAACGTGTATTTATTTTTTACCACAATCGGAGCACTGCTTATCTGTATCTTTAGCAGTAAGGATCGGTTTGAGTTCCCAAGTCTCCAGGCTTATACCGACAGCACAGGTACGTACCCTGTTGGACTGTGCGTGACGAAAAGTCTACGAAGAACACAAGAAGCACTGTTGTGCGAGTTCAAGACGGAGGGAGTAAGGAGAAAGAAAAGAAATGCGCTTGTTAACTCGAAAGGGAGGGGGGGAATCTTCACCATTACAATATTCGAAACTATTGACCCATCCCAAGTCAGACAAAAAGCAAAACAGCCGTAGAGTTTTGGGGGTTTTTTGTTTGTTTTGTTTTTGTTTTTTTGTTGTTGTTTTTGAGTTGCAATAACAAGGTGATCAGGGCCAGGGCATAAAGACGTCACAGAGTTTTGACGCGGAAACTATTATATGTGTAACATAACACCTGTTAGCAGAATCTAGTGCTGTGTGGACCTTAAAATATATATTGGTCGATGAATAGTGCACTTAAGGTGGGGTCATGTCACACATAAAATATCAACAAAAGGAATACCTGTCACACACCCCTGTATTCAAGGTAATTGTTTTCGATATCACCTGATGTAGAGTTCTGTAGGTATTTTAAAAATCTATTAAAAGTTCATCCTAAATTTAAGGTCCTGTTATAGCTTGTGCATGGACGACTTTACACGTAATCACTCTGACATAAGGCCTAGAGGGCCTAGATAACAATTTGGCTACTTTTCATGGGTTCAGATAATAGTTCTGTATTAATTTCCTCTGAAGGTTGAACCTTTAAGCTGGTGTAACCTGGCGGATAGTGACGTCATTGTTACGCAGTCCAAATGACATCCTTGGCATTCCCTTAACTGAAAACACCCGGTAATCACTTTGATCAAAAACTGGACCTGCAAATGTATCAGTACAATGTCTTGAGAAAAAACGAATAACAACCAGAAAGGTGTTTTTCAAACAAGAAATGTAGACTTAGCCCAGTCGTTTAACAGGAAATGTAAATAATTAGACAGAGCCAAAAACAACAATTAAGGTTCAGTGACACTTCCAAACCGATGGATTATGTCGCTTGCTTTCTTTTAGGCCCAAACGATTTTGTCATCTCCTGGCCTTTCTCACACCAATAAGTCTATCAAAAATCAAGTTTTGTCCAAAGACAGCTGCAAGTCATTATGTAAAGTCATCGATGCATGTTTATAGTCTGCATCACTAGGAAAAACCTACTTACCTAGAGTGAAAACGCCACATCTAGCCCCGAGGCGATCCATACTTCAGAGGGTATTTAGCACACCCCCGTTTATTGTGTTTCGTGGTGTGATTCAGTCTCCAAAATGGACACAACCTCTATGGGAAAATGATTTCTTCCAGCCACCCCAACAGACTAGAGGTCTGCTAGATACAAGATTGAACTTTAGTTGGGTCGAAATTTGCCTCGAAAAATTCGATTTACTGCGTTATGGCCAACATGCTGAGTACAGACTGGGCTTCAGTAATGGCTTTTCCATAACAAAAATGAAAATACATACAGTGAGTGAGCTTTCAGGAAGTAAGACCGACGGTGTGTTGGCCTTGCATACAGACGAATGCCCAGGCTTTTATTTATTATTTCATCAAACTTGCCCCGGGTACCACCGGACACGGTTAAAGGCACAGTTCATCATTAATCGTGTGCACTGTGTTCCTTTGTGTCAACAAAATGTACTAAGCAGGCTAGCTAGAAACTTTAACCTTTAACCTTATGAAGCTTTAACTCAGTGAATGCTGGAGATTCCTAGAAAAACGATTTTTTTATGGGATCAAATTTCCTGCCAATCCTGCGTCGTTGTTTGAATTTCCCCTCAATTCAGTGTGTGAGACACATTCCATGTTCAGTCGAATGCAGCTGAACGATGTCAGGCACTTAACCAACGCCAACTGCAGTATAAAGACTACGCCGCGCACGTGGGTCGTGTCAACGCAAGCGTGCACTGAAATGGCTTTCTTTGATTTTTTTTGTTTTGTTTTGTTTTGTTTTGTTTTGTTTTGTTTTAAACGACAGCTTGCTAGAAAGAATAAATTCAAAAGTATAAACTCCCATAATCATCTCCCAACCACTGTTTGGATAAGCTCATTGCAAATAATGGACTTTATCTCTCAAAGCAACAGGTTGAGTAAGACGTAACCGTACAACCTGTAGTCTTCGAGGGCCGGCCCATGTATTGAAACTGAGAATCGAAACCAAAACGCCTCAACCCAAAGGGTAAGGTACTTTTAACCAGCTTAAAACTCCTTGCCAGTTTCCCTGACAACACCCTCTGACACTGCCTTAGTGCACTGCGCATTGCCCACGCTTTAGTGCACTGCGCATAGCCCACCTTGACACCAGCTAGCTTGGACGATGCGTGTTCGGCACTTAGGCTGCATTCGAATCTGTTGTCTAGAGCTAGGTCTAGGTCTTCACTCCATTGAAAGTACGTGGAGACACGCAGACAATAGACCTAGCCGTAGCTCTTGAATCCCGTTTCGGACACGGCCTTAGTGTCGTTAAGGGTCTACAAATGAAAGGAATGGTTTAGTTTCAATGCAACCGTTCGGGTTGTTGCTAATGCTTCATCTTCTTATAACCTGTGTATTACCTAAAAGCAAGGTTTGCTTTACAAACGAGATCCTTGTCATTTCCTTGCAGTGATCTGGTCGAGTGATTGTTTCTTCCACTCATTAAATGTATCGCTTGCGATCGACATCTTGAAACATAATACGCAATGAAAAGTAAGCCATTTTACATCTATAACTATTTGAGTTCCACTGAGTGTCCTGTGTAATTGGAGTGATTTTTCTCAAAAAAATAAGGGCCTCTCAAAAATTATTTATTTTACTCCATTCTGCCTGCATGCCATTTTCTATTGACTGCCTATAGTGCCGTATCACCGTAAAGCCAGTTTTTACTTTAAACCATTACCAAAAATACAACCCTTTCATCGTGTTTGTCCTTTTTGCAAGGACGTGTCCAAACAGAAACCGACCTCCCAGAGGATCCGTCTTAAATTCTCAGTACTTCATTTCTTTTTACCAAATCATTTGATCGTTATTTTGTCTTTGTATCTCTTGACGGGTAAATTACTTCTGTGTATTTTTTAAGCGATGATTGCTATCTTCTTCTAGAGGATTTCCTACACCAAAAGGCGCCAGACAATTTCCAGTTCGGCAATGGACCAATGTGCGCTCCATGTACAGATATGCTGATATGATGTTTCCTCCTAGCATAAAAAAAAATAAATCTTGGTATAGTTTGCATTGACAGGTCGTCTCTTGTTTTCACTGTGTCTCGTGCTAAGTGGTGCTGGTTTTTTGTTCCTGTTCGACGAATTGCTGCCTAAAGTGTTATTCGAGGGATGGCTGAAATCCAGTTTTAAATCCACACTTCATTTAGCAGCATGGCTGTACACTGATTCACTTAGGTAATAGGCGTATGTGGCCTTCTGGTTGGTTGGAAGGACTGATACACATAATTACACATGATCCAATCGACGGCAGGACCTCATTACCAGGCGATGTCGTTATCATTGGCTACCTTTACCCTCAGGTAGCTGTCATTTTACGGAAATGGCTTAAGAACAGGCAAAATAAATGACAAAGACCAACCCCGACGTACCTTTCCAAAGATGCATTCAGGTCTATTTGTTTTGATTTTTAGTTAGTGTTATGTACTTAAGAGTACATGTGGATATCAGTAACTGTAGGTCTACTGTGAATACGGACGATTCACAATAGTGCGCCACCAAGAGATTGCAACACGTTGGCCAATTATAACGCGCGAAAGTTGTCGACCCTTTGCAAATGCGCATTGCGTCGACAGATTTCGCGCATTGTGATTGGCCAACGCGTTGCAAATTCTTGGTGGCGCACTGTTGTCAAACGGCTGTATTGACGGCTGTATTGACGCCATAGGGCACACAGCGATGAGAAAGAAATACCTGCTGCTCAAGCCTTGATGTACGAGTGGGGCTGAAGGTCCCGATTGCAGCAGAAACTTTTATTAATAGCACAATTTTGGAAGCGTAACTGAACGTTGATTTGCTTCGCTTTTCTTCATCAACCATAAGAAATTCCCTACATAGTGTGCAATTTATTTAAATTATTTATTAAAAACAAGAACAACGTTTTGGCATTCGTGCTATGGACACATGCATGGGAACAACTTTGCAGACACAAACACCTGCATGGTATGTTACGTGTGTTATTTGTTGATTCTAAAGCACGTTTTTTAAGGAGTCTACTGACAGTTCTGTTTGGCATTTAAAACATTTTGAACCAGTTGAATAGCCTGTAGAGGTGGTGAATGAAAAGGGAAAATATGGTGAACAACTCAGTCTTCGTGTATGCAAATGATTTGAGATTACATGTAATTGCAAGGCATACGATTTGCGTGTTCGGTTTCATCCATAATACTCTGCCTATGAATAATAAAAGGATACATTTATAGATGCAAATCTGATCGCCAAGTTGTATTTATTGATATGAAACTTCAAGATTGCCAGATTATGTGTTCTGTCTAAAATTAATGAGGAATTCTGGGTTAAAGTAGGAGTGAAGCGGTAACTCTTCCTCAGGGTGATCGGCTTTTACTGGCTCTGACAAGGTCTCTAAGTCTCAACATCGATTTGTCCCTCACATTGAAATCTGGGAGCTCAAACCTCAAGGCCCTAGGGTTATCTACTCGAAAATGAACCATTCGTAGTTCCTTGTACGGATCAGCTGACATTATGTCTCCCCCGAGTTTCACGTTGTGGATTTTAAAATAGTGCACGTTGATAGGTCGGAGGATGTTCTTGTCGTGGCCAGTGTTCTGGTGGGTGGGCTTTTCCGAACGCCACAGGTTCCGAGTTATGGTGGAATTACCGCGTGGAGTAATATGCCGAGGGTGGCCGAAGAACCAGTTCTGAACCCGAAGGGCTCCGAGGCTTTTCAATAATTCGTCCTGAAGGTAGTCTGTGATACGTGGCCGCTGTGCGTCCATTGGTTGTATGTACTCGTCCACGTCAATCTTAATCATCCAATCAACGTCGTACTTGTGTCTCCAGATGCAGTCGTTCTCATGGGCTATTTGAACCTCTAGGTAAGTCTTGTAGCGTGATACGCTGTGTGCCCAGGGGACGATGGTGACGAAACCCTTATCCACATAATCCTTGACAGTGGTTGGTAACTTTGTGTCACCCTCATTCTCATTGTCGTATATGAAGACGTGTTCCACACCCACAAACCTGTGGAAGTCCAGCCACTCTGGGATAAAGCTGTCTGCCGACTTAACCATGGTGCAGATTGCCAGCTGGTATTGCGTCTCCGGCGAAACGCCTGATGTACAGACAGTGATATTTGAATAGGCGGCATCAATCGAGAGCCTTCGCAGTGTCATGTTGAAGTACGCCCTCCAGCGGTAACGATCGGGCAACGGGCACGTGATCACCACGACATACTGTGGCATGATGCCAAAACTTCTGCTGTCATCGATGATGGGGTTACTTTTGGTCAACTTTCCATCGGGAAACTCGCATGCAAATACCTCACTGTGCCACTTCTGTTTTAAGAATTTAAGCCCAATAAAGGCCACATAACCCGCGATCGGATCGGCAAAAGCCGAATGCACATCGGGCATATCCGGGCCCTGAAGTTTGTCCTTGAAAAAGCAGCTGTAGTCACGTGGTACGGAGTAGCGATACATGGACTTATTCAAAGCTCTGTATCTATCGTACACCTTCTCATCCAGAACGAGTTTCTTTTTTGTCGCTCTGGGATGACCCCGTGACCCCTGCCGATCCAAAATGGCGTCCAGGTGCATGCCTATGTGCAGGTTGAAATCGGCGTCATAGTAATAAATCCCGCCAGTAGAGAGGAGGTAGGTGAACAGGGCCATCGACGACAGCAGGCCGACGAGTAGAAGTATTTGGCTGTTAAACTTCCTGCGAAACATTTTGAAAGTGCTCACCTCTTTCCCAAGCGCCCAGAGGTCTGGTTGTTCAGAAAGCAGCGCCTCTCTTTTACTAGTTATATCAATGAGGAGTCAGGCAAAATTAATGTCTCGTCGAATGGTACACTCACTTAATGGTAAAATGCACGGCGATCAGCGGCCTCAGAATTAATGGGCAATTGGCAGCAAGCTTTGGTTTCAGTCAAAATGGTTGCAGGATTATTTTCACACAAAACGTACTGGCGCTTTAGCTAGATTCGAGACAGCAGTTAGTCATTCCTCTGGACCAAAATCCCACAGTGTCATCGTTCTGATGGACATGGGTCTCTTCCGGCTTGCTGAACAGTAGACGGCAAATTTCTGAATGATGCACCGGTGTTTGCCAAAAGGATCCCGCAGAGATAAAAAGAAACATCACTCGATAAGTAGGCTGCGAATTCCCGGTGTATGGTTATGGTGTGCTGAAGCTGATAAGGTATATTTGTTGCAACCAAGGTTACCAACGTTTTACTGCAACGCCTCACACTGATAAATCCTTATAGATTTTCCCAGAATTAGCGTGTCAATTAAATGGCCTCTGGAGAGACTCACGTTACACTGCGTTCACCTGCCTATTCACGCACACGCCATATGCTGGTGAGATCGTTTTGGCAAAAGAAACGATTTAGCACATCCACTGTTCGTGGGGTCGATGCGTTGAAAGACCATGCTGCAAAAGAATAGCTCGGAGTTCGACTTGAGAGAGTCCGATATTGTCCGCCGTATTTTTACTCTTAGTTCTGGCCTAAGCAAAGAGGAATTTACCGTTTCCTTCGCATCGTCCATCAGCCTATTGCAAATAAACTGCAGGAGTTTCTACGTAGGCATGTTTGTGGTCTTTCTACATGCGGGGAGTGCCTGCATGGCAATCACCTAACCCAAAGTAAATGTCAAAAGGTTGTGCCCGTTCCCAAGGACACTTTTTTTTTCTATAAACACTTGAAAGTTATGCTTAGGGTGCGGTTTGCAAGCAAACCGATTGGCAACAGTCAAGTACTTTTCTGGTTTCCAGTCAATGGAGTGCTGCTAAGTTTGCTCAAGGCAAGTTGCAGCAAATGCCCACCAGCACCACGACCGGACTTTGGACCAATATTCACTTAATAAAACAGTTTATGTATTTGCACATTATATACCAGCTGCGTGATTTGTAGATCGTGTACGTGCTATGAAATGTTAGTCCACCGTATTCCCTTGGACAGGCCGCGTATAGCCATTCCATTATCAGACACAAATTCCAGTTCGCATATCATGGGCGAAATTGACCGATTTCACTCTCTTCCTTCGTTTAATTGTGTCCACGACCCAACATAATACGCTGCAGCAATACTAAACATAATTTCTGTGCCCATGATATAGTGCGTCCGGTCCACATCGGCCTTTCGCTTGATAAACCTTTGGAAGTGAACAGCGGTGGGCTGTTGAATTGAGTGTTACACACGCTGCTGAAAGCAAACTGGAGCTCTACTGCAACTGGGCCTTCCAACTGTTATCACTTTTTTATTCTTCATTGCTAAGATCAGCAACCAGTGAATCGGATTTATGTACTCTTCGGAAATGATAAGTATATAAAACGAAAATTCCTAGAACAAAGCGGATATCTCGCTCGTTGTGGCTTCTGTGCGATGATGTGCCTGGACATTCTAGGGGCGTAACCATTTCATCCGCTTTATCGGCATTCCCTTTGTGGTACCTACCTGCTATAAGCTCGAATGGAGATTGAATAAAAATGCAGTGCCGTACCATAACTCAAATAAACCCACTGAGTTCTCTCCCTCGAGGTAATAATCGAGTCGACAGAGATCTTTTTCACTCCAGTAGCCCAAATTGTGCACCTGTGTTCGCTGGCCAAATTTTACCCTGCCTAGGCACTACAATAGTGCTAGGGGCCTCACGCACGCGTACATATGTTATGCTCACTCTCTATTTTTTTATATAATAATAATGCGCTAAGCATATAGCACCGTCCGTTACGAAGTCACTTTTTTAAACATTGCAAGTGGACAACATCAAGGCAAGTATATACAAATTTGAGAAAGGAACACCAACAGCAGAGTGGGACTTGCAGTTAGTCCTTGAGTAACAAAAGGGGTACCTTGATTTATTTGAGCATTCGCTCACAGGTTTCCAGATGTAGCGGTTTGTCGCACTCTCAGTAGACTTAATTGTCCTCTGCCAGTGTTTATTTCAGGTAATAAACCACCGCGGTCACGGGCGAAGATCATGGGGGACATATCCCCCCTCCCACACACACATACACATTTTGACCTGGGGGATTACCAATACAATCATCCCCCCCCCCCAATTTTCAAGTCACTGGCTACGCGCGCACCCATAGCGTACACCACCGGCTCCGCACTTGCCGGCATCACGAACTTATTTTTGGACGGAGTCGAGGCCGGCCTTGCTTAACTTTCAGAAACCCCCCCCCCCGCCCAAAGGGACAGGAAATCTCTCTGCCCGTGACTGCGGTATTAGATTCAATAATTTTCACCTCATAGTTTCCTTGAACAGTAATGTACAAAATGGATCCCTGTGCATTTACTGATGAATAAGCAGTGAGATGCCTTCCAAGTACATGTTTAACGACAGCGGAAAATGACTTCCCGGAAAGAGGCCCAAGACCTCGACGGTAGATTCCCTTTTTTCTGAGCTTTTGCGTAAATGTTGGAAATTTTCTCAATGAGCCGATGATCTGATGATGTCACGATGTGTTCACGTGTACACTTCCTACATCTAACAACCATATAACAGCCCAAAATATTGGTGGCAAAGTGTTTTAAGTTCAATAAATACAGATTTAGTGTTAGAAAAAGCTTGGAAATGTAAAGGTACACCAAATTAGGACACTCGTATTAAATAAACAAATTTGATTGGTTCTGTTCTCCCCATGGTTACTGTTATGCCCCCCGGTGCTAAAAATGAATTTCTTTGCGCAGCGGCCGGTCTTATATGACATTTTTAAATCTTAAACTAGCTATTATCCACGCATATAAATAAATCATGACACACCATGTCAACTTAAGGCCCGCACAAAAGCCCTGATTGGATCCTAGGTTTAATGTTGACGATGCAAGAACTCCAAAGACTGCGAACCAACGGAGCAACATTGTGTTGCATGTGGGCAACAAGAAAAGGGAAAAAGATCTCAATACATCAATGATGCTCATCCAAATGTGGACTGGATCTTTTCGGAAACTGGAGGAATTTCTCCGATTTTTGCCACATGGACATGTGATACTGGACCCATTCCACGAGAATAGTCGGAACTTACTGGGTCTGATATCCAGACTACTCTTTGACTCTTTTTTTTTAATTTATAGTGGTTTTGGTGGTTTCCTATATGCAGAATTCACATGACGTCATACTGGCCGTTGTTTCGCTTATGCCGCCATATTGGCCGTCAAACGCATGCTATGTAACGTATGCAAATACACGTACGAGCACACGTGCCGTAGGGTGCCATATCGTGAGGGTACTTCAAAAGATCTGTATTTTTATCGGACTCCTGCCGATCGGCAACGAAGAGCAAAATGGATTGCTGCAATCGATGCAAAACTTTTCCGAAAACTGGACTCCAAACTCGCACACGCGACTCTGCAGTGTTCACTTCTTTGCGGGAGGGCCATACATAGGACTAACGTTTGTAGGCCTACAATTCCCCCACGTGGCACACTTCGAACCTTTGGTTGACTTTCGTTTCATATTACTGCCAAACCTTTGAAATAATATCGTGCTCTGTGAACACCATCCAAATTACATGTATTAGCCGTGTCGGCTAATACGATGTCTTTCATGAAATTCGTCATTTTTGTTCTCAAACATCGATCCAAATTGCGTGTCACTATGCAGTGAGTGTAAGTCTCACGAGTTGGCATGACGGCCAATATGGCAAGCTAGTCGAAAGTTACATGAAGTCCGTGAATGACCAACATAGGGGCGCCCGCTGGTCTAGCTACTAGCTGTTCCCTGCCAGAGCTGCAGTCCACCCCGAGCAGAAGCACCCCAACTGATGACGGTTGTAAAGAGCCATGTTGATCAGGAGTGTTCATTTTAATTGTTGGTAACCACGCGACCATAACCCGTGCATTTCCTCATCGTTCATGAACAAGAGAAGTGGCATGCAGTTCGACCAAGGAGCCTAAGTCTGTTGCTGGGAAAACTGCGCCCTCTCTTGGTCTCGCTCAAGGCTCACATTGGCTGAGTTCGGGCGGCTTGTTCTCGTATGTTCACGAACCGCTGGATTTGCTGTTCGTTAGTCGGCCGCTCGAACGCCGGGAACGTACAACCGGTTATTGCTGGTTGTTGCATGCAACATGGCGGCATCCCTGTACGTTCTTTCAGAGTGAACTTTGGAAAGCTGGGCTGAATTCTTTTCTATTTAAAAAGGAACATTCATTTCTTTGCTATGGAAAAATGATTATTGTTAATTTTGTAAAATTTCCCTTTAGGAGCAATCTCGATATTTTTTTGCGGCTGTTCAAAAATCTAAATTTCACGAGTGTTCCCGTGTGTTCCTGTAAAACCCCGCCGAGGAGGTGGTGCGTGATCCTGTTCCGGGAACAGTGTTCTTGAGTCGTGTTCCCACCGTTCAAGCGCGAGAACAAGAGACCCGTGTCAAGAACAGGCCACCCGAACTCGACCTCAGTGTACAGAGAGCAGCACCAACTTCTGACTTTGGAACCCAAAAGGATGTTCATTATGTGTCCAGTGCGGCACGCACCTTGTCTCCTTATTGTTCCACATTATGTCATTTTGGTTCCATCAATTGGGACATTCGTATCATGTCGCAACTCCATCTATAAATAGCTCTAGCTGTCCCCCATGGCCCACCAGAAGCCACAAGTCCTTGAAAATAATGTGCTTGCATAGGGTTGCACTTGCAACAAATTAGCGCCCATAGAATACAGTGCAAAATCAGACCGAATTAGCCGCACCGCCTGTTGGCTCTCGGGACTCAGAGGTTGGCTTCCTTTTTTCCCTGGAAATTCAAGATTATGGCCAGAAGATCACTTTCCGTTTCAATTTTACGGGGGTTAGCCACAATTTTTTGTTGCCTTTCCCGGAGATACTCCCAAATACATGTAGTTGTAAAACTATGCGCTCAGATCTGAATGTGGCCGTCCACCGTAACCTCCGAGTCTATCCAAACTTAGGTCCGCAATTTGAAACTTTTTGTGAAAGAAATACCTCGAACTGGAAACTACCAGTCCCAAATTCAGGATCTATAGAAATATTTCTATGATCCCTCCTATTTATGGCATGTCTTAAACCCCGTGTAAACACTGTAAAAACCCGTGTGATCACAAAATATTAATGCGCTAGCGCACAGAAATCCAACAATTTGGTGGAATGCACCAGAGGGCGTGATCGTAAAAAAAATTGTAACTCCGTCTCTAAGGGCGCCCCCTATTTGTACCAGTAATGAGGCGACTGTGAGAGCATGTTGCCAACAGGTCAACGGCTCGACGCGACGTCCCAGCGTCGCGTCGTCGCGTAGCGTCGTGGCGCTGGGTCGACGGGATGCAATTTTGGCGGCTAAAGAACACCGTATTTTCCGCCTTTGGCGTTCTATCCGTTTGAAACATAAAACAGCCGTTCGTTACCCTTATAAAAATGCATCTTTTTCCTTTACTAATAAAAACTAATAAAATCAAATTTATTTGCAATATCATGAACTATTAAAAAAATTATTTTCATTTGAAATAGCGATTTTAATTTTTTTGTTCTTGAAAAACGGGATCGTTTTCTTTTAATAACCAAGCTAAGATAAAACCTTTGGACGAGGTTGAACCTTCGACCTAAGAAAGCAACATGGAAGAAATCGGAATCGTTGTTCCAGACAAGGACAAGGTAAACAAATTCTCCTTTTTCACCGAGTGAAGAGCCATCAATTTTACTTTTTATGTATACGGGTACTGTGCATAGTTTTAATTATATTTAATGAATATTTGATCTCTTTAACGGCATTGTGGTTATCAAAAATGATGGCAAATGTGGTCACTGGAGAAAATTTGCTATGTCACACCTAGGCCTACCTACCGAACTGTACGATCCGACGTCCGCTCCTCTCCCACGAACCCCACATAAAAAGTGTCTTTTTCGCCATAGGCTATGCATGACGTTTAACACGGCACGAACAGCGATTCCATTGGAGTTGTGGACCCACGCACGAACATGCCATTGTGTTGCCCTTACTGATGAAAAAAATGCATGGACCCATCCATACATGTACATGTAGGATGGGCCCATTGCATCTTTTGTGATTGGGAAAAAGTTAATAATCTGTGCCACTCTGAACTAAAGATTGAACCATAATTATGCATCTTAATGCCTAGTTGCCTATCTGATTGTGTCACGCACCCACGGTGACTGACCCATGGTAGATTGGAATTCAGTTTAGGGTTCTGGTTAAGTGCTGGCTTTTTAAAACGGTATGTTAAAATCAATGTAAACCTTTCGCTAAACTAAAGTGTATTGGCTTTGTGTTGTATTATGGTTGTAGTACTGGTGAGTTGTGACGTGTGAGTACAGTCCCATAACCAGACATGTATATATGTACTTCTGAAACTTGGTCATTGTTGGTAGGACCTGTGCATGTCCTTTAAAGAAACTTAAAGGCTCTGTGGGCCTCGGAGGGAACTTACTTTCACGGTGCCAATTCGCTGTGGGTTTTCAAATCTTGCCATGATTGGTGACACCCTCTTTGGATTCAACTCCACTTTCTAGACCGATATTTTGTCCGAATGTTGGCTTTTACTGTTTCATGTACATGAATGTCTGCAATCTTTGGGCGTTGCGTTTTTTCACTGCAAATCCAATTTTTTTTTACTGCCAGGACAACTGTCTTTCCAATTCCACCAGAGTTCTCCGACTCAATACACCTTCAACATGTTGACTTTATTTACTTTGTAGGATGAAGTCCTATCACCCCCGGGCTCAAGACCTACCACCTCCACACCCAGCAGCATCCTAGATGCTCTGGACATAGACGACCTCTACACAAGATTCAAAGTAAGTGAGATTGGAGTCTGAAACCAGACGTCCTGAGGAGAAAGAAAGGGGGAAAACAGCCTTCAACAAAAAGGCATCCTTCAGACTGACCCTAGCCCTGCCAGGCCTGGCAACAGGTGTAATGGTCTGGTGCACTTTGTTCGCAGGAGCCGAATAAATTGCCCATGTTGAGAGAATGAGAGCCAGTCTTACAGAGCAATGCCACTGTTTGAACCACTGGCAATCACAGGCTCCCTGTACCTATTCAAGCAAACCCACAAACCATCATGCTGCATATCCATTCCCAAATGCTGGGATCATTGTGGTCAGAAACAATGAAGATTGTCCCTGTTATAACATTACGTACTACATACTTACTATTTCAATGGGAAGCCTTCTATCATTACATAATCTCTAAAATACAGTACTCATTTGAAATTTTTGATGGTCAAAAAGTGATGGTAAAAAGTGAGCGGGTCACAGTACCCAGTCAATCCAATTCAACAGGGTATGTGCAGGCCCACAGTACCCATTCAATCCAAATTCAACAAGGTATGTGCAGGCCCACAGTACCCATTCAGTCCAAATTCAACAGGGTATGTGCAGGCCCACAGTACCCATTCAGTCCAAATTCAACAGGGTATGTGCAGGCCCACAGTACCCATTCAATTCCAATTCAACAGGGTATATGCAGGCCCACACTACCCATTCAATCCAAATTCAACAGGCTATGTGCAGGCCCACAGTACCCATTCACACAAAATTAAACACCAGATAGTAAGCTACCAGTACCCAATGCCACAAACTCACACACTTTACTGGTGTTGAATTCTGTGTGGTTAGGGAAGGTTAGTGTAAAATATTCAAATGCTCGACTTGCCATTCTATTGAATATTCAATGGACCAATTCACACAGAATCAGAGATGAACTACCCATGCTGGTGTCTTGGTCTACCGCCTCATTGTTGAGTTTCAGGACAGCTGTCCATCCCCTAGTTGTAAGGATGAGAGTCCAACTAATGTTTTATTCCGATTCTCTACACAAAAAGACAAAAAAAGAAGCCTAAGTTTTTGGCATTCCTGCTTTTGAAATTACTCATAATACATGTACCCTGAAATGAAACACATTTTTAGAAAGCAATCTGTAACCAACTTATCCCAAAGAGTAAATTGTTCCCATTTTACGTCACTGATGTTTACATCCAAATATATTCAATTTTGAAAGTTATTCAAATGTCACTACTCAATGGAATATTGTAATATTCAGCACAACCCTATCGCAGGTTTCCTTCTTCTGCTTTAACCCCCAATCCCTTTCCACTTTGCAGAGGCTTCAGCGGCAGATTGAATTCTACGAGGTCCAGGAAGAATACATCAAGGATGAGCAGAAGAACCTCAAGAAGGAGTTCCTGCATGCCCAGGAGGAGGTCAAGCGCATCCAGAGCGTTCCTCTGGTCATCGGTCAGTTCTTGGAGGCAGTGGACCAACATACCGGCATTGTGGGCTCCACGACAGGTGAGGCATTCTGAAGCAAGGCACCTGTGCCCACAATTACTTGACTTTTCCACATGCTTTGTGCCACTGTCGTCTCTTAACCCCACAAGAGCAAGTTTTTCCCACGTGCCAGCTGTTGTAAAGACTTCTGGTAATATCTTGCGGGCATTTTGACACCACTTTTTGAAAATCGGATATGCCGTTCACCCGCAGTGCACATGTTTCAGAGTCATTGAGCCAAAAATAGTTACTTTGTCATTGGCATCCCCCGTGCACGTGGGCTGGCACGTATGATGCAATGAACTTCAACTGACCATTGCATCAAACCCTTCAAGTATGTCGAATTGAATTAAAAGTTTACATTTGTACTGATGGGGCATTGGTACATGCAATGTTTCGAGGCACTTACGTGAACATGTAGGCATGTGACAGCCAAGTTCTCTGGGGGAGGGGGCAGAATCCCCCTTCCAGCCTCTGAGATGAGGTCGTTCAAAAAGTCCTTCCTCTCCGAGGGTTATTTTTCTTTTAATTATGTCAGTGCAACAACCCTGTCATTTCAGCAATGTACTGTTCATTTTGGGTTTTGTATGTTCACATTGATAACCCAAGAGTTGCTCATTGAAACTATTTGTGCAGAAATAACTTTACTCTCTGCTAATACACAGTGGACCCAACATTGAAACCAAAACCAAACAACATTCTTTCAAGTTTCAGGGCAGAGATACAGTGCACATGTGCAGTGAGCTGCAGCATTGGAAAGTTTTCTTCATATGACATTACGCTTTTCATAAATACCATTGAGATTTAAATTAGCGTAAAAATCAAAATTGCATCATCACTCCCACCAGATGGAAAAATAAAATTGCAGTCCATCAGGAAAACCAATTTGGGCCCAAAGTATGGCTTAGCTTGGATGGACGACACCATTAGAAATATTGTGCTTGGCTTGCAGGGTCCAACTCCTACGTGCGCATCCTGAGTACGTTAGACCGGGAGCTCCTGAAACCCAGTGCGTCTGTTGCTCTCCACAAACACAGCAATGCCCTGGTTGACGTCTTACCGCCCGAGGCAGACAGCAGCATTACCATGCTGGGAACCGGTGAGAAGTGCTTCCTGGGTTTTGCGCTTTCAGTCAGTGCTCTTTGGTTTTCTTTTACTTCACTGTTTCCTCATGAAGTGGAAGGTGCCTGACTATTCTGTGAGGATGTCGGAGTTCATCTTGCTGTCAAACATATTTTTCTTTGGAGCTGGAAAGGTGGCAAGATTTTTTTATCCATAATTTGGGATTCATCTGAATTCATCCTGCATGCCGGAGTCTTTAGAAAACATTCACAGGGATTGCCAAGATTTGAATTTAAGATTTGAACATGGCAAATGTGCCCCTTTGCCAGAATAGTTGATACAGTCCACCTGCAGCTGTCAAATTGGTGGCTGCCAGTTTGCAAAGTTCCCTGGTCAAAATTTAGCCAAAGATCAGTTTCTCTGTGAGCTGTAAGTTACTGACGGTAACCCATTCCGACCTATCAATCTCTACCAGGGTTTTTTTGAAGGTTTCTGAAGAAGTGAGGAGGATAGATCATTAATAGGGCTGGATGCTCCTTTCGACTACCAAGAATCTGCTATGGTTTTCCCAGCACGGGGTAGTTTGGACATTTCAGGAAGGTTTCTAGAAAGAATACCAAGGGAGTTGGATTCCATATGCGTGCATATAATTCAACACTCCATTGTCCTGTTATTAGAAAGAATCAGATTAAATAAAGTGCCTTTTATCAGATAATTTTTCTGCTCCATCACTGAACACTGCCTGTATTGCTTTAAATTGCCCAATCACTCATGCAGTTTTCCAGATTCATTAATATACATGAAGTCAATAGATACAATCAATAAGCACAGTGTATTGTAGATAAGCAGATCGGAAACAATGGATTCTTCTTCTTAATGTTCCACAGACGAGAAGCCGGACGTCTGCTACTCGGACATCGGCGGCATGGACATCCAGAAACAGGAGATTCGAGAGGCCGTGGAGCTACCTCTGACCCACTTTGGCCTGTACCAGCAGATTGGCATCGACCCGCCCCGGGGGGTGCTCATGTACGGGCCCCCGGGCTGCGGCAAGACCATGCTGGCCAAGGCAGTGGCTCACCACACCACAGGTGAGTTGCTGGTTGGTAGAAGTGCAATTTTTCAGGGGGGATAGGTGTTGCATTGACTCTGTGCATGTGCTGTAGAGGGCGCTGTGCAGGAATGGCCTGTTCATTGCCCATGACCAGTGCAGCCTCGTTATCTCCTAGGCCTGTTCTTCTGGTTAGCGGTCCCAGTGTTACTCCAGACAACAATTCAAGTGGAATGTTTGGATTATTAGAACTTCTCATCAGTTCATTTTTGATGGGATCCTACAAAATAAGGTTTAAGGCTGGTTTTCTAGTAATTTTATCCCAGTGCGGATCAGAAAGAGCAAAGGTAGCTTTTGATTTGATGTATCACTCATCCTGTCACCCTGATGAAAATGAACACTGGGTGGGTGAAAAATGAGAATGGACATTGGGTTGGTGAAAAATGAGAATGGACACTGGGTGGGTGAAAAATGAGAATGGACACTGGGTGGGTGAAAAATGAGAATGGACACTGGGTGGGTGAAAAATGAGAATGGACACTGGGTGGGTGAAAAATGTTGAGGGCTTTACCCATTGTGCAAGATTTTTTTGAAGGCCTTTGACTTGACAGAGGCCCTAGCAACTTCATGACTCACTTTGCTCGGTTGGCTTACAGTTCTCTGTCTCTCTTGCTTGCAGCTTCTTTCATCCGAGTTGTTGGCTCTGAATTTGTCCAGAAGTACCTGGGGGAGGGGCCCCGCATGGTGCGTGACGTCTTCAGGCTAGCCAAGGAAAATGCTCCGGCCATCATATTTATCGATGAGATTGACGCTATCGCCACGAAGAGATTTGATGCGCAAACAGGAGGTACTGTACACAAAACGTTAAAGAAATTGAGGAGAGGTCTCAGAATTTGGAAACACATAGTGTCAATGACAATGAAGTATAAGAACAGTTTAGTCAGGTGCTGTAATTAGTGATCTTAATGTACATATCAAATGCATACAAGGTGGTGATAGACTAGACTTTGTGAACTTTTTTTAAACCACCAACTGCATTTGATCTCAGGTGCTCGAACAGCAAGTTCCTCTGATGACGATAAACTGGACGTGTATCTTAACTGGAGATGTTTGCTTTTGACTATATGCATTGATTGCTACATGTATGCATTGGTTGCCATGCATTGGTTGCCACCAGTGGTCCTTTCAAGCTGTTTTGCTCGTGATGGTTGGCTTGATCTGCAGAAGTTAGGAGGTTGTGAGTCAAGAGTGCAACCTGAGCACACAATGCAGTTTTTATTTCTACTCCTGGCAAAAAGTCTCGACGGGCAAACTTGAATTTGAGTTATCTTTGATGTCTCTTGCAGCCGATCGAGAAGTCCAGCGTATTCTCCTTGAGTTGCTCAACCAAATGGACGGTTTCGACCAGACTGTCAATGTCAAGGTAAGCCCTGATGACAGTCATTTTATCTGCATCATTTTTTCTCAGTGGCAAAACAACGTTAGGGAAAGCGTGCCAATCACATAGCCCAGGCTTAAATTTTCTAAAAGGATGGAGCATATCTTAGTTTGGAACATTTACCCGTGTAGCCAGCTGGCTTATATGTAGGTTTGGTTCACGTTAAGCCTTAAAGTTAGCACAAATGTGGATTTTTGACAAAGCGGCATGCGTTTGTCTGCCATGGTGCCGAAGTTGAAAGTGTTTTCAAAATCAGGCTACCGGCTGTAGACCCATAACAGAATGATATCAAGCCTGTGGACATGATCTGTTGAGCCCTCAGTGGAAAAGGAACGCGGACAAATTGCATTGTGTCTTTAAATTCTTAGTCTCTTGTTGCCATGTCATCCCATATGGTCGTCAGTGTCTTTTGAAAGTTCAAGAACAGGATTGTGTTAAAGTTTTATTTCCAACTTGTATTTAGACTGAAAGTGTCTATTCAGCATGAGATCTTGTGATAATTAGACCAGAAGTCTGCAATAGCTGTTTGGAAAGAGGGCACTTGGCCTGGCTGCTGGTTTCCGCTTTGCTACCTAACAATTTCACGTTCTCTCTAGGTCATCATGGCAACGAATCGGGCCGACACCCTGGACCCCGCCCTGCTCCGCCCCGGTCGCCTGGACCGTAAGATCGAGTTCCCCATGCCGGACAGGCGGCAGAAACGTCTGATCTTCAGCACTATCTGTGTCAAAATGAACCTGTCGGACGAGGTGGACCTGGAAGACTGTATCCTTATGACAATATAAATGATGCTCCAACCGTAGCATCTTGAGTGACTATCACAAAACCTAACTGGTCTCGATAATTTCATCTCAAGTCATTCAGTCAAGCCAAGTCACTAGCTGTTAAATGAACTTTGATAAAAGCATTCCTTTATCATTGTTTACTCTGTTACATGTACAACTTGGGGTTGTAATCGAGTAAATCACAAGTCCGAGCAAGGTCAACGCAAGTCATCCAGTTTTAAACCAAGTTGTAGGGTATTCAAGTGAGCTGTGACCAAACAGTTCCTTTGTCACTGTTTCAGCCTGTTGCTCGTGACTGGTC